AAAGCCCAGGACCAGATAGCTTCACAGGCAAATTCTACCAAACATGTAGAGAAGAGCTAACACCTATCCATCTCAAACTCTTCCAAAATACAGCAGAGGGAGGAACACTCCCAAATTCATTCTATGAGGCCACCTTCACCCTAATACCAAAACCAGACAAAGATGTCACAAAGAAAGAAAACTACAGGCCAATATCACTGATGAACATAGATGCAAAAATCCTCAACAAAGTACTAGCAAACAGAATCCAACAGCACATTAAAAGGATCATACACCCTGATCAAGTGTGGTTTACCCCAGGAATGCAAGGATTCTTCAATATATGCAAATCAATCGATGTGATACACCATATTAACAAACTGAAGGAGAAAAACCATATGGTCATCTCAATAGATGCAGAGAAAGCTTTCGACAAAATTCGACACCCATTTATGATAAAAACCCTCCAAAAAGTAGGCATAGAGGGAACCTACCTCAACATAATAAAGGCCATGTATGACAAACCCACAGTCAACATCGTTCTCAATGGTGAAAAACTGAAAGCATTTCCTCTAAGATCAGGAACAAGACAAGGTTGTCCACTCTCACCACTGTTATTCAACATAGTTTTGGAAGTTTTACCCACAGCAATCAGAGAAGAAAAAGAAATAAAAGGAATCCAAATCGGAAAAGAAGAAGGAAAACTGTCACTGTTTGCAGATGACATGATACTATACATAGAGAAGAATCCTAAAGACACTACCAGAAAACTACTAGAGCTAATCAATGAATTTGGTAAAGTAGCAGGATACAAAATTAATGCACAGAAATCTCTGGCATGCCTATACACTAATGATGAAAAATCTGAAAGAGAAATTAAGGAAACACCCCCATTTACCACTGCAACAAAAAGAATAAAATACCTAGGAATTTACCTACCTAAGGAGACAAAAGACCTGTATGTAGAAAATTATAAGACACTGATGAAAGAAGTTAAAGATGATACAAATAGATGGAGAGATATATACCATGTTCTTGGACTGGAAGAATCAACATTGTGAAAATGAGTATACTACCCAAAGAAATCTACAGATTCAATGCAATCCCTATCAAACTACCAATGGCATTTTTCACAGAACTAGGACAAAAAATTTCTCAATTTGTTTGGAAACATAAAAGACCCCAAATAGCCAAAGCAATCTTGAGAAAGAAAAACGGAGCTGGAGGAATCAGGCTCCTGGACTTCACACTATACTACAAAGCTACAGTAATCAAGACAGTATGGTACTGGCACAAAAACAGAAAGATAGATCAATGGAACAGGATAGAAAGCCCAGAGATAAACCGACACACCTATGGTCACCTTATTTTTGATAAAGGAAGCAAGAATATACAAAGGAGAAAAGACAGCCTGTTCAATAAGTGGTGCTGGGAAAACTCAACAGCTACATGTAAAAGAATGAAATTAGAACACTCCCTAACACCATACACAAAAATAAACTCAAAATGGATTAAAGACCTAAATGTAAGGCCAGACACTATCAAACTCTTAGAGGAAAACATAGGCAGAACACTCTATGACATAAATCACAGCAAGATCCTTTTTGACCCACCTCCTAGAGAAATGGAAATTAAAAAATAAACAAATGGGACCTAATGAAACTTCAAAGCTTTTGCACAGCAAAGGAAACCATAAACAAGACCAAAAGACAACCCTCAGAATGGGAGAAAATATTTGCAAATGAAGCAACTGACAAAGGATTAACCTCCAAAAGTTACAATCAGCTCACGCAACTCAATATCAAATAACAAACAACCCAATCCAAAAATGGGCAGAAGACCTAAATAGACATTTCTCCAAAGAAGATATACAGATTGCCAACAAACACATGAAAGGATGCTCAACATCACTTATCATTAGAAAAATGCAAATCAAAACTACAATGAGGTATCATCTCACACTGTTCAGAATGGCCATCAACAAAAAATCTACAAACAATAAATGCTGGAGAGGGTGTGGAGAAAAGGGAACCCTCCTGCACTGTTGGTGGAATGTAAAATGATACAGCCACTATTGAGAACAGTATGGAGGTTCCTTAAAAACTAAAAATAGAATTACCATAGGACCCAGCACTGCCACTACTGGGCATATACCCAGAGAAAACCATAATTCAAAAAGAGTCAGGTACCACAATGTTCATTGCAGCTGTATTTACAATAGCCAGGACATGGAAGCAACCTAAGTGTCCATCGAGAGGTGAATGGATAAAGAAGATGTGGCACATATATACAATGGAATATTACTCAGCCATAAAAAGAAACAAAACTGAGTTATTTGTAGTGAGGTGGATGGACACAGAGTCTGTCATACAGAGTGAAGTAAGTCAGAAAGAGAAAAGCAAATACCGTATGCTAACACATATATGGAATCTAAAAAGAAAAAATAGTTCTGAAGAACCTAGGGGCAGGACAGGAACAAAGACTCAGACATGGTGAATGGACTTGAGGATATGGGGAGGGGAAGGGTAAGCTGGGACAAAGTGAGAGAGTGGCATGGACTTATGTATACTACCAAATGTAAAATAGAAAACTAGTGGGAAGCGGCTGCATAGCACAGGGAGATCAGCTCGGTGCTTTGTGACCACCCAGAGGGGTGGGATAGGGAGGGTGGGAGGGAGAAGCAAGAGGGAGGAGATATGGGGATATATGTATATGTATAGCTTATTCACTTTGTTATAAAGCAGAAACTAACACACCATTGTAAATCAATTATACTCCAATAAAGATGTTAAAAAATTTTTTTAAATAAAAAATAAAGGCTATGTCAATTTTAAGTAAAACTAAGGAAGTATTTCACTAACATGAGTCACTTAACCAAAAAGGAAGTTCTATGGCCTAACATGCAGCATGATGAAACTAAGACTCCACAACAAATACAATTAAGATATACAGTATGAAAAATATATGGTTCTTTTCTTTTTGGTGATCTTTTTAAGGTTAAAATTTATCAACCAAAGAAGATATCCCTTAAGATATATTATTTATCATAAAATCTGATACCAGTAATGAATAGATGAAAGGATCATTCCCCATCCCCCTGAAATTTAGAGAGAAATTTTAAACTATTCTGGCTGAAGGAGGTGCTTCTCTCCTATTTCCTAAGGAGTGAGCTCCTCAAAACCCCCAGGGTCCTGCCTGCCATTTTTTAAAAACCACTAACATGAAGTTAACCAAAAAACTTGCAAAGATGCGAACATAACTACCAGGCAAACAGGGAAACAGCCCTGGACCTGAGTCAGAAGACGTAGCTACCAAATTTCAGAGCCTACCACTGTTTAACCACAGGCAAGTCTTAGTCTTTTCATCTGTAAAACATCCATACCTAGCATAATCAAGTGGATTAAGCACCAGCCACATCCTACACCCCCCAAAAGACAGGGAATTGTAAAGTTGAGGAAGAGGGGATAATTAGAATACGATTTATTAGATGGATAAAAGTAGTAAATGTCAACTCAGAGTAAAAACAGACAGGACTATTTTTGGAAAGGTACCTATTAAATGGTGCAATGGAAAAGAGATTGTTAAATTCTTTTCTTTTTTTTCTAGAATGCACTTATTCTCACAGGCATTCTCTGAAAGGCCAAATTCTTTTTTTTTTAATCTTTATTGGAGTATAATTGCTTTACAATGGTGTGTTAGTTTCTGCTTTATAACAAAGTGAATCAGCTATACACATACATATATCCCCACATCTCCTCCCTCTTGCGTCTCCCTCCCACCCTCCCTATCCCACCCCTCTAGGTGGTGAGATTGTTAAATTCTTAAAAGAAAATCTTTGAAGAGAGTGAGGTGTAAAGGGAAAAACTGGGAACTATGAAAGAAACCCATTTATCAGCCTACATTCTCTGGGCCGGTCATTAAACTCACCCAGGTCTGTGGTCAGACTGAATGAACTCAAAGGTCCTTGTCCTTCCAGCTCTACTGTTACATGAAAACTTCAAAATACTATCAGGACAAAATAGGTCCAAAATAATTTTTAAGTTTATGTTGTGAGTAATAAAGTAAGTACACATGATAAGCATTGTAAAAACTTCTGTTTTTTAATTAACTTTTTTTACACCACCCTGTTTTACATAACTCATTGCTTTCTAAATTCCTACAATAAATGTCTTCAGTTTTACAATCAGAAAAGGATATTACTAAAAACAAAAGAAAAAGAAAGCTCAATCAAGAATAAAAAATTTATTCATGTGGAAAATTTAAAACAACAAAATTTCCTCCCTTAAGGAAAATAGAAGCTGAAGTTACTTCCCAAGTAATTAAGGTGAGTAGATTATCAAAACATTCTGCATACTTATATGGTTGTATATGTACTTTGTGTGCACATTGACATCACCCTTAGACTTAAAAACCAGATTTCAGGCAGTGTCCACACCTGCTTACGCTGCACTCAGAGTGCACCATCACATACTGACAGACACCCATCAACACAACCAGTAACAGTCATGCGACAGTTAGGCGTGCCAATGAATCAATGAGTCACTAAATTCTTAACTAAGACGCAAATTGATGCTACTTCCCAAGATACTAACTATTGGGTATTCTAAGCACGGAAAAAATTTGTCTAGAAACACAAAGCATTTACCACCCACACAGAATTTCTGCAGGTTTTTCTTCATTATGGTTTCTAAATGTGATGAAAAAGAGTATGTTGGAAAGAGCACTATGTGGAGATCAGGCTGCTGGATGGGTCAGAAAACCTGGGCCCTGGGGTAAATCCAAGGAATAAGCCAGCAGGTTGCACCCTCAAGGGCAGCTCTGAGTAATCTATTAGGTCAGGAACAACAGTCTCTGCTCAGAGGATGCTTATGAAATGACGAATAGAAAAATATCTGGACAGCACTGTGAAACCAGAATTCAGGAAAATACTATCCTCTCTGAAAAGTGATTTCAGGCAGAGCTGAGCAGGTAGACTACCGTGGTGGAGGTGGCCTTCAAGTACAACTGCCATGCTTACTTACCTCTTTCTGTAGATTAGAAAGCTGAGATGAGAGACTCTCAATTCTCACACGACTTTCCATCAGTTCTTCCCTGGCACTATTGACAGTAGATGTATTCATCTCTGACGACAGTCTGGCATTCTCAAGCTAAATAAAGAAGCAGACCATAGTCAGTTTCATCTAGTGAATTAGAACAAACAAATGAGGAACCATGATTCATCTCAAGGCATCTCATTTCAAACCTAAACCCTGCCAGTAACTAGTTGATGAAACAGGAAAAGCATCATGAAGTTTGCTGATGTGCTATGAATTACCTTAAAAGTCTTTCTGCCTTTTCGGCTCAATTCCCAATATAGGAGCTTAACAATGCTGATATACCTGGGTCTTTACCCAAAATTTAGTGCTTCAATATTTCATCCATTATATATCTAATGTCTCAGATAACACTGCTAATAAGGAGACTGGACAGGAACAATTTAACTGTGGTGGCATTTGTAGGAAAACAAGCATCATATACCCCTAACCCACCAAATCTGATACAGAATATAAAGCAATAAGCAGAAAGTACTAATTTAGAGATTATTTCAAACCAAACAGACACACTTCTTTTCAGAAGCAAAAAACAGCTCCTCTGGTAGAAACAATATCCTGCTCCTCCAAATGCCCACAGCATTCTGTTCTGCATGTGTCTCAGGCACGTTTTTTATGTAGGTCTCCTCCCTGGCTCCCTTTGAGGCCAGAGTCTCTTTGACTGACTAATCCTTACTTAAGCTCTGTCACTGCCCAGCACAATGCCAGCACTGAGTAAGTGCGGAACAACTAAACGTAGGGATTAAAAGATCTCTCCCTCTCACCAGGCAATTACTACTTCATAACGTGGATTAAAAGCAACATGAACAATTTGAGGCCATGCAATGGAAATTATTTTCAACACCTCTATGACCCTAATTTTCTAAGTCTTCCACTAATAACTCTTTTTAATCAAATCATGTAATATTTAACACATTGGGGTAAAATTATTTACTACGAAAGCCCGTACTCAGGGAGTTAATAAATTTTTGCATGGTCTCCTAATACAAGAGAGAAGTTTCTATAGTCTTTTTTTAATGAATAATTAGTGGCAGAGGAAACTGCAGACACTGTCCATTTGGCCTTTGTTCAAAAAAGCCCAAAGTGTGGTGGTCACAACCTATGTACAATGATGACATGGAAGTCAGAACTAGATGCAGTCCAACAAGATTAGTACTTGTTACTGAAGGAGAAGCTATTTTCAGATGGCTGGAGTTTAACTAATATGACTTGACATGAATGATCAGTTGGACAAAGAGAAAAACCTTACCTTTGATAAAAGTTGAATAACCCTACTTTCTTTGAATAATCTCTAATAACATTTACTTTATAAAAAACTGCTTTCTTTAAAAAAAAATCCATTTTTTATATCCATGGAGACTAAGGGAATTCATTTAAGAAAACTAAAACAAACCAAACATCAAGTCATGTTCTCAGGGAGACTATGAAACAAAGGCTTCAAGTGTGTAAAGCCATCCCTGGAAGAGTCTGCTCACTTTGGCGTGGTAAGTCTGCTCCATCTCTTCCTTGTACAGCTTGACTTGGGCATCGTGTTGCTCTCTCATCTCATGAAGGGCTTGAGCCAGCTTGTACTCATACTCAATCTGACGCCCAGAATCCACCTCTACCAAGCGAGTTTCATGCTTCCTTCTGGTCTCATTAATCTCCTGCGGGGAGCGGGGAATGACATAAAACCAAGTTACTTACCATAGCTGCACTAGTACAAGTCTGAGTGACATCAAGGCCATCTGAGGTATTACACACCAAGCTCCTCATGTTTTGTCCTAGGGCAAGTATGTGAATAGATACTTTTTTGCCTTCATTTTCAAGTAAGAAGATTTTTTGAGCTGGAACTAATGACAGAAATGGTAGCATCTCAAGCCCTAGGAATTGTATGTTTCTTTTTAGTAGCATACCTATTTATTTCTCTAAAGGCAAGGAATGGCTGGAAGACTTACTAAAGTACCAGGCAATCGTGGATAACTAGGTACACTGAATAGCATGTAATTATTTTTCTAAATTGTACTGATGATACTAAGGACAACTCTGAAAAAAATCTAAAAGATAAGTTAGAAACTTATCAGCAAAACTTCAACTAGAAGATTTATACATAATAAAACTTTTCTTAGGCATACTAAGATGCAATAGACAGAGCAAGCTAATTTACATACTTATCCTAACAGCTGGTAGTGTGCTAAGGTATCAACATCAATTGATACAGAATCTTACTGACAATATTACGTTGCTATCTCAAGTACATATGACAATTCACTATTAAAGAATAGAAATAATAGGCATAATCCTTCACATTATGTTTTAAGGAACTATCCAAACTCGAATGGCTAGGAACACAAGTCTAAGAATAAAATTTTCATTCTAGCTTCTAGCTCTGAAAACACAACAGATCTGTCTTTAATGGCAATAATTAAAGAGGCCACAAGAGGGGGATATAAGAAGAACATGTTTCTGTATCATCTTACAGCATGCAGTTTTTCTTTGCATTTCCTCATTTTTCTCTTAACCAGAGGAAGATGCACTCGATAGAATCAGAAACCCAGGGTTCAAATTCCAGTTCTGCCATTAATCTCCCAAGGCTCACATCTATATGATGACGCGAATGATACTTAAATCATAAAAATATGCAAATAAAAGGTTTAGTTCAACAAATATTGAGTACCTACTAATCATTTTGCCCTTTGTCTGCCTCCTTTCCTCTTCTTCCTGTTTTTCTCCTTCCTCTTTCTTACCCCTAAACTGTTCATAATAAGGAATTTACGTATATTTATTGCATAGAATTTTATTCTCCATGTTAAAAAAAAGAAATGAGGAATATTTTAAATTCATTCTCAAAAAGGCAAAACCCCAAAATTCAAAGTTGCTACCCAAACATTCTAAAAATACTAAATTACTTTTTACTGATGCCGTTTTTCACTTAACATTTTATGTAGAATCAGTGACTTACAAAGAAAAAAATACTCAACTCCTGGTTTAAAGATGCAGGAGTACACACAGTGTCAAAAGTAAGAAATAATAGATCACGGACAATTTTAACAAAACAAAACAAAAATGTAGGTCAACTTAATATAAAGATACTTCAATTTATAAGCAGAACTGTAGTTAATAATTATATGACAGGGACTTCCCTGGTGGTGCTGTGGTTAAGAATTCACCTGCCAATGCAGGGGGACACGGGTTCAAGCCCTGGTCCAGGAAGATCCCACATGCCGCGGAGCAACTAAGCCTGTGCGCCACAACTACTGAAGCCCGAGTGCCTAGAGCCCGTGCTTGGCAACAAGAGAAGCCACTGCAATGAGAAGCCCGCGCACCACAACAAAGAGTAGCCCCCGCTCGCCGCAACTAGAGAAAGCCCGCGTGCGGCAACGAAGACCCAATGCAACCAAAAATAAATAATAAATAAATTTATTGAAAATAATGATAATAATTATTATTATATGACAGCATTCACTGTAGTTTACAAGAAGCTATCACACACAATATTCCACTTTGATCCTCACCACACCTTGAAGAAAAAATAGCAGGTACTGATATTTCATTTTTAAATAGGAAACTGACGCAAGAACTGTCCAAAGTCTGGCTGCTTATCCAGTGAGTGCACTTTGCCCCCACAATACCTAGTTTAATATTATATTGTCACAAAAATGGTCAGATTTTTATTATATTATTTTTTCTCCAAATAAAAAATATTATTTAACTTCTACAATAAATTTCTATTTTAAAAGCATTGTTAGTCACCGTTTTCAAAATTACATTACTTTTAAAAACATTATGTATTTAACTGCATGTTCTCTAACCTGGGTGAATTCCAACCGTCTTCAATTTTGAGAAAATATATATTCCCCTTTCTTCAACTGTATTACAGTACACTTCTTTTTTGGCAAATGTTGCTACCTTCACCCCTCAAGGCTTAACCAGAAGTTACGGCTTATAAATGATACTGTTAGATATACATATATAACTGTAAGTGCTCTGGGTAACCAGCCCCCAGTGGTTGCTGCCTCCCGGTATTCACCCGCTGTGTGATCCCCCTTCCATAGTGCATCTTGGTTGGTCTGTGTGATGGGGAGTGAGGGTATATCACTTTGGGATTAGTTAATAGAAGTTAATGTGGCTTGTCTTGCTCTCTCTCTCTCATCACTCACTCGAAGAGTCCTATCGTGAGCAGCCCTATTGAGAAGCCCATGCTGAACTGATACCTCTGGCCAAAAACCTACGAATGAACTCCAAACCGGTTCCTGCAGCCCAGGCTGAAAGCCTGACTACAACCTCATGAGAGACCCTGAAACAACCATCCAGTTAAGCAGCTCTCAGATCCCTGACCTTCAGAAACTGTGAGATAATAAAAGTCTGTGGTTTAAGTTACTAAGTTTTTGAAGTAATTTGTTAATTTGAAGTAATTTGTTAGGCAAAACATATAACTAATACAAATGCAGAGGTTGATAGTAATTAACAGCTGTAGCCAAGCCTTTTTAAGTTAGGTGGAAGTAAAAGCTTTTAAGTTTACCATAGCACCCTGACTTCTTCCTCGCAGTCCTTTAGCATCAGTGCCTTAAATAATTTGCCTACAAAATTCTTCCCATTTTTCATACGTATAGCTTATAACAAAGCCTTTTGGGATCCCTCCATTCCTTAAAAAAAATAAAATTATATATAATTACCTCCTCATACATGTTTTTACGAAACTCCAAGTCCTCAGTAAGGCTCTGACAGCGATTCTCCAAATCCACTTTAAGTAAAGTTTCATCTGCTAACTGTTTTTTCGCAGCAGCTAAAGAGGCTTCCAACTAATATAAGGAAAAAGAATTAATGAAAATTATACAGCAACCATTTAGCAATGAATTTAATAGATACCTACGGATTGAATCAAATCAAGTATTACAATTTCTATATATCTGTTAATGTATGAGAGTCCCTCATGATAACATTTATCACAGAACTGTGGGTTCAACTGCTGGTCCCACCCACAGAGTGTCACATCAAAACACCTCTCAAATTTGGTAAACGGCAACAGGGAATGAACAGAAACCTATGACTTACATTTGAAAACTCAAACTAACGATTTTAGCTACCACTTGCATTTTTTCCTGTGTGCAGAGCACCATTATGACACCTTCTCTCTTCTTACCTCGCATTTTGGTACAATAATGAAATAGGCTGTGAGAGCAAGAAACAGAATGAGCATAAGCACAACAGAGAGGACAGAGAGTAGCAACAAGATCTGCATAATCCAGACACAAGGACTGAGAGGTGAGGGTGCTTTACATGTTAGCTAGTTCAAGGCTATCCTTGCAGGTTAACCACCCACCAAAATAACTTAATAAATTTTTAAACGTAAAAAGCATAAAATAAATTTTACAATCAATCAATCAAAACAAATGGGGCAATTAACCTGCCAAATACGGCTCAAGAGCAGAGTTTACCTTACCTGGGCAATCTGATCCTTCAGATCCTCCAAATCGCTCTCTAAACTTTTTTTATCACCAAGAGCAGTAGCCAGAGCTGCATCTTTCGAATTCAGCGCGGCTTCGTATTCTCGAAGCTTGATCTGGGCTCCATTAAGATCAGATTCTTTCTTAGCATAACTGCAAGACATTTGAAAAAGTGCAAGAAATCAAATTATACCTCTGACTTGAAGCCTTCTCCCTCCCTGCTTAAGGGGGAAATAAAAGAAGAGGCAATTTAAATAAAGGCTGCCATAACCTACTAAAATTACAGGAGCAATTCAGGAACACTAGATCTAGAGTTTTTGGTGAATAATAACTTTCTCTTTCAATGATTTCCCTTCCCTGATTAGGAATGACTCTAGGTCTAAAATGTCCATAGGCCCAACGTACAAGAATCCTGGTTGTCTCTGAGGGAGAATACAAGTCCTCCTTTTTCTATAAAGAGGCATCTATATGCTTCACTAAAACATTTTTGAAGAAATGGAAATTTACTATTTTTAAATACAATGAATATTATAAAATAAGATGTACAGGAGACATAAATCAAGATAAACGATGAGATTAAGTAAGTGAAAATGAACTGTTACTTTAAAAAATAATTTTATGACTTGATGATATATAGAAACTCCTTTAACATTACCTAAGAATTAACTGACCCTAAGCTTGCAAGTAGTTTCCATTTCTTACATAAGAGGTGATTTTAAAATTTCCTTAACTACAAATAAGGGGCTTCCTAGTATTTTGAAGAAAAGTTAATTTTTCCTGTTTATACTATTAACTATCCAAGAATGAAACTCAAATTAAGGTTTCTTTTACTTCTAAATATCACTTTTTATTAAATGGAATTCTACATTATAAAATTAAGGTTCCTTAGGATACATTTTGTCAAATAATTATATTTTAAAGATCAGTATTTTTTAATCCAAATAAGTCCATTATCATTAATTAGTCATATGGGCAAAGCCTTAATAACATAAAAATTTTTGATAGCCATTCTTAATTAAAACTGATATTACAGACAAGTATTTCTACTACTGATGTGTGAGAGTGGGCTTAACAGAGGAATCTTTAGTTAACAGAACTTTTTAAAAATATTGTAATATTATAATAAAATGAAGAAAACAGCTATCCAAAGGATAAGCAAAGGTAGTTTGAAGAGAAGATTTAATAGTACTCATTTCTTACTCATTTTGGTATTATACAACAACTACGTACACACATAAAATCTCAGCAGTCATATCACAATAATTTTTTTCTTAAATCCTGTATTTTTAAAAACCACAAGATGGCAGCCTTTCCCTGAAGACTTTGTTTAGGAAGGTGGTGCGGGGGGACGGACTGTTGGGGAAAAAAAAATTCCATACAGTCACTACTTTGTAACAAAAATGCCTAGTTCATACAAGTGCTGGGTCTGAAAGCTAGGAACACCATAGAAAAGAATCAGTGCTTGTAGAGGAGCTATTACTTTATCTCACTATATAAATGACCAGAGCTGACAGGGAAAAATACCATAATAGAGAATTGCACAATATTTACAAAAGCTACTTACTCAAAATTACTTACTTAACAGTTACAAAAATTCTACTGCACCACTGTCTAATATTTAAGTCTCAGATCATAATGTGGTGCTTCTGAACATGGTGCCTCAAGGCAGGAGAGTGAACCTGTGCTTCCCAGAAACCAAAATGGCCCACCAAGAAGGATACTGAATTTAAAAAAAAAAAAAATTCACACCAATTTTACTGGCTACTGCATGTTCTGTCTGTTTGATTTCATTGGCTTAATAGATAATAATACATGTCATGATTCCAAATTCAGAATGTTGTAGCACAAGTGAAATTACTGTGCAATGGTCTTGTGGAGTGTAGGAAATTCGAGAAGCCAAAAATTAGGACACTACACCTAAACGGCTAGAATATGGTGATTTCTTCAACAAAAATCAAGACCAGGTAAGACAAGGAGTGGTGGACTAAGGGGATGAGTAGGATATGCTATTATCTTATTGTGATAGGTACCCTCTAGCCCTGCAATGGTACCAGCTGAAATCTGATGTCAAGTTCTCAGTCACTTATACCACCGTTACTCTGTAAAAATATAAATTGTTCCATTATAAATTCTTTCTTAAAGTTGTAACTTTTACATTACTGAACAAATTAAGCAGATATACATCAGAAGTTGGAAATGTGCTTAAAATTACAAATAAAAGCTAACCCCATACATGCCATGGCTTGAGGGAAGAGAGTCGAAAACTGCTTCTGCACGTGGCACATACTTATATTACACTTACCATACTGATCCTATCTATTTGTGGATATACTTAGCTACCTTGAGAGACAGAACTCTTTGAGGGCAATGGCCATGACTTATTATTCTTCTATCTGCTGTATAGACAACCTGTAGACAATGAGTGTTTTGGTAATTGTTAAATGAAAATCCCCCATACACTCCCCCCAAAAACTCACTCTGCTTTTTTTATGCGATGTAAAATATCACGTCCTTTCCTACAAGAAAAAATAACTGTGACACTTCTGTAATCTCTAAAATTCACATTCCTAGATGTCCTCCCTATTACCTTGCCAATTTCTGAGGCTAGATGGGTCATGAAAGAAATTTTTGCTTACACTCAAGTCTCCATCTGCTAAGAAGCCACAAATCAGTAAGTTTTATATGCCATACAAGCACAACAAGGACAAACGTGGGCCAAGCAGCAAGTTAACATCTTGAACATAACTGATGTCATAGTTTTCTAGTTGTATTATTTTTCATTCATTAAAAATGATGCAGGTAAAAAAAAAAAATGATGCAGGTAGATTGGTTCAAAATGGTGGAATAGAAGGACGTGCTCCCACTACCTCTTGCAAGAGCACCAGAATCACAACTAACTGCTGAAAAATCATCGACAGGAAGACACTGGAACTCACAAAAAATGATACCCCACATCCAAAGACAAAGGAGACACCACAATGAGACAGTAGGAGGGGTGCAATCACAATAAAATCAAATCCCACAACTGCTGGGTGGGTGACTCACAAACTGGAGAACACTTATACCACAGAAGTCCACCCACTGGAGTGAAGGTTCTGAGCCCCATGTCAGGCTTCCCAACCTGGGGGTCCGGCAACAGGAGGAGGAATTCCTAGAGAATCAGACTTTGAAGGCTAGTGGGATTTGATTGCAGGACTTTGACAGGACTGGGGGAAACAGAGACTCCATTCTTGGAGGGCACACACAAAGTAGTGTGTGCATCGGGACCCAGGGGAAGGAGCAGTGACCCCAGGGGAGACTGAATCAGACCTACCTGCTAGTGTCGGAGGGTCTCCTGCAGAGGCGGGGGGAGGGGGTGGTGGTGGCTGTGTCTCACCATGAGGACAAGGACACTGGCAGTAGAAGTTCTGGGAAGTACTCCTTGGCGTGAGCCCTCCCAGAGTCTGCCACTAGCCCCACCAAAGAGCCCAAGGAGGCTCCAGTGTTGGGTCATCACAGGCCAAACAACCAACAGGGAGGGAACCCAGCCCCACCAATCAGCAGACAAGCAGATTAAAGTTTTTACTGAGCTCTGCCCACCAGAGCAAGAGCCAGCTCTACCCACCACCAGTCCCTCCCATCAGGAAACTTCCACAAGCCTCTTAGATAGCCTCATCCACCAGAGGGCAGACAGCAGAAGCAAGGAGAACTACAATCCTGCAGCCTGTGGAACAAAAACCATATTCACAAAAAGACAGACAAGGTGAAAAGGCAGAGGGCTATGTACCAGATGAAGGAACAAGATAAAACCCCAGAAAAACAACTAAATGAAGTGGAGATAGGCAACATTCCAGAAAATGAATTCAGAATAATGATAGTGAAGGAGATCCTTCAAGGAGAAGGACCTTGAAAAAAGAATGGAAGCAAAGATCGAGAAGATGCAAGAAATGTTTAACAAAGACCTAGAAGAATTAAAGAAGAAACAAACAGAGATGAACAATACAATAACTGAAATGAAAACGACACCAGAAGAAATCAATAGCAGAATAACTGAGGCAGAAGAATGGATAAGTGACCTGGAAGACAGAATGGTGGAATTCACTGCTGCAGAACAGAATGAAGAAAACAGAATGAAAAGAAATGAAGTCAGCCTAAGAGACCTCTGGGACAACATTAAACACAAAAACATTTGCATTATGGGGTCCCAGAAGGAGAAGAGAGAGAGAAAGGACCCAAGAAAATATTTGGAGATTATAGTTGAAAACTTCCCTAACCTGGGAAAGGAAATAGCCACCCAAGTCCAGGAGGCACAGAGTGTCCCATACAGGATAAACCCAAGGAGAAACACGCAGAGACACATAGTAATCAAGCTGGCAAAAATTAAAGACAAAGAAAAATTACTGAAAGCAGCAAGGGAAAAACGACAAATAACATACAAGGGAACTCCCATAAGGTTAACAGCTGATTTCTCAGCAGAAACTCTACAAGCCAGAAATGAGTGGCATTACATATTTAAAGTGATGAAAGGGAAGAACCTACAACCAAGTTTACTCTACCCGACAAGGATCTCATTCAGATTTGATGGAGAAATCAAAAGCTTTACAGACAAGCAAAAGCTAAGAGAACTCAGCACCACCAAACCAGCTCTACAACAAATGCTAAAGGAACTTCTCTAAGTGGGAAACACAAGAGAAGAAAAGGACCTACAAAAACAAACCCAAAACAATTAAGAAAATAATAGGAACATACATATCAATAATTACCTTAAACATGAATGGATTAAATGCTCCAACCAAAAGACAGAGGCTTGCTGAATGGATACAAAAACAAGACCCATATATATGCTGTCCATAAGAGACCTAGGGACACATACAGACTGAAAGTGAGGGAATGGAAAAAGATATTCCATGCAAATGGAAATCAAAAGAAAGATATTCCATGAAAATGGAAATCAAAAGAAAGCTGGAGTAGCAATATTCGTATCAGATAAAATAGACTGTAAAATAAAGAATGTTACAAAGGACACTATATAATGATCAAGGGATCAATCCAAGAAGATATAACAATTATAAATATATATGCACCCAACGTAGGAACACCTCAATACATAAGGCAACTGCTAACAACTATAAAAGAAGAAATCGACAGAAACACAATTAATAGTGGGGGACTTT